CCCTGAGCCCCCCCTGAACCCCCCCAGTGGTACAGCTCGCAGTGGGGGGAGTGAGATTTGGGGCTGGGGGCACGGTCTGGATACCCTGAGCCCCCCCTGAACCCCCCCAGTGGTACAGCTCGCACTGAGGGGGGGGAGATTTGGGGCTGGGGGCACTGTCTGGATACCCTGAGCCCCCCATGAGCTCCTCATGAACCCCCCTATGTCCACCCAATGGTACAGCTCACAATGGGGGGGTTATGGGGGGAGATTTGGGGTTGGGGGCACGGTCTGAACACCCTGAGCCCCCCCCCCCTATACACCCAGTGGTACAGTCTGCACTAGGGGGGTTAGGGGGTGAAATTTGGGGTTGGGGGCACAGCCTGAACCCCCCATGTCCACCCAATGGTACAGCTCACAATGGGGGGGTTATGGGGGGAGATTTGGGGTTGGGGGCACAGCCTGGACCCCCTGAGCCCCCCATGAGCTCCTCCTGAACCCTGACACTGGGGAGCCCCCCCAAAATTAGGGAAAGGAAAAACAAAAATTGGGGGTGCCCCCTAACACTGGGGTGAGCTCCACGAAATGTGAAGACCCCTCCCCACATTTCTAAACCTTCAGAAAACTCCAGGGCTCAGCCAAAACCGGGGACCCCCCTCATTTTAGGGACCCCCTGGGGTGTCCCCCCCTTCAATTTTGGGGGTGCTCCCTGACATTTGGGGGTGCCGCCCCCCTGTGGCAGCGACCATTTTGGGGACAAGCTCAGCATCACCCCGACAAAATCGTGGGGGAACCCCTTGGGAAATCCCCACGTGTCTCGGGACCCTCCCTCAGGTTTTTGGGGTTCCCCTCTCAGGTTTTTGGGCCCCCTCCCACCTTGCCAATGTTCCATGTCTTGATCTGCTGCAGTTCTGTCACCAGCTGCTCGTCACTGCACGCCTTCAGCTTCTCGATGAGGGCCCGGCAGTCGGCGGGCTGGGGGGGGACACACGACCCTCAGCACTGTCCCCTCCATGTCCCCAACGCCCCCCACAATGTCCCCAACGCCCCTCGACGTCCCCAACGCCCCCCCCATTCCCTTCTCAACGTCCCCAAATCCCCCAGACATCTCTGATTCCCTCCTCGAGTGTCCCCAAATTTCCCTCGAGTGTCCCCAGCCCTTCTCCAAATGTCCCCAGTCCCTCCCCCAGTGTCCCCAAATTTCCCTCGAGTGTCCCCAGCCCTTCTCCAAATGTCCCCAGTCCCTCTCCCAGTGCTCCCAGTCCCTTCCCGAGTGTCCCCAAATTTCCCTCGAATATCCCCAAGCCCCTCTCCCAGTATCCCCAACTTCCCCCCAGTGTCCCCAGTCCCTCCCTCACTGTCCCCAACCCCTCCCTGAGTGTCCCCAGCCTCTCTCCCAGTGTCCCCAAATTTCCCTCGAGTGTCCCCAGTCCCTCCCCCAGTGTCCCCAGTCCCTCCCCCAGTGTCCCCAGTCCCTCCCCCAGTGTCCCCAGTCCCTCACCGCCTCCGTGGGGGTTTTCTTCAGTTTCGTCCGATCCACTTTCATTTTGGGGGTTCCGGTCCTCGTGCTCTGCCTGTGGCCACACGTGGGAGGTGTCACACCCGGGCCACCCCCAGAGCGGCTCCAAAACTCCCCCCTGCCTGTCCCGACAGGGCC